CTGAATACTTAGGACCATGTGTTATTTCAGTTTTTCTTTTTTAATAAATCTGCAAAAATGTCAACAATTCTGTGTTTTTCTGTCAATATGGGGTGCTGTGTGTACATTAATGAGGAAAAAAAATTAACTTAAATGATTTTAGCAAATGGCTGCAATATAACAAAGAGTGAAAAATGTAAGGGGGTCTGAATACTTTCCGTACCCACTGTATATGTGTGTGTCAGATATTTTTAATATTATTCATTTTTTTGTCCATGGAGGCAATCAGTAGGCTAATTTCTAATGAGGAGACCAATTTATATGACAGATTTTAATGTAGGCTTTTATACATATGTAAACATTATTTAATTATAACTAGCTATCTCACAAATTGTTGCTCACTCAGTGTTTTTTAAATTTTACAGTGGTAATTTTGGTGCTGTAGCACGAGATAGGTTGATTTCAAACTTTGAATTGAATAAAAAAATGACAAGTAAGCAGTCAGTAATAAAATAAAAACAAATAAAGAAATTAATAATGATAGCACAAATAACGACAGGCCTTCGAATTAAATAAATTGCTTTTTAGTTTTTCAGGTAGGTCTAACAGTAGGGTTAAGATATTTAACTTTTTTTTTTTTTACCAATTATCCAAACAACGTTTAGTCCTAGAAAGCTATTATTATCAGAACATGTGAGCATAACATAGCGGTTAGCAGATCAATGAATGAGAGGGCAGCGTTACCAGAATTGCCCATATACCACATCATGTTACAACACAGTAGGGCTATTGCAGACAGAAACTATACTGTACTACATAGATGTTTCCAGTCGGCTTAATTTTTGAGTGGAATTTGCTTTTCCGATTCGCATGAACGGTATATGAGTGGAGCGACTGAGCGGAGCGCACATGCATAGAGCGAGATAATACACAGAGCGTCACACCACGTGAAAGTGAAATCTGAGCAGTGAACGAAATTTCGGTGCATCTCTAATTATTGGCGACATCAGAAATGGATATTATATAATAGATGCTTTTTTGAACATTTAGCAATTTAGACAGACGGCACCCCGGTTGGGAAACACTGCTCTAGATGAATGGCTTTGACCATGAACGCAATATTTTTTAAGACATTGTGTTAAAGGGGTCCTGTTATGCTCTTTTACAAAGTCTTGATTTTGTTTTGGGGGGGTACTAGAACAGGCTCTCATACTAGGTTGTTCGAAAAACACCTTATTTTTCACATATTTTACATTATTACAACACCTCTCTCCTCAGTCTGGCATGAACGGCTCGAATAGTTCCTGTATCAGATGAAGGCCCGCCTTCTGAAATACGAAATGTGCTGTGATTGGTTAGCTGGGCCAGTGGGTGTTGTGATTGGCAGCACTCGGCGCCTGGTCGGGAAATGTCACGCCCCTTACCATAGCCGCCTGCGAGTTTCAGTGTAAATATTGCGTCAAAATCAAATCAATTTGAGCGCGATTTAAACCCGGATGATTGTAACCACTCTAAGTTTGTATGCCTTGGAAAAGCTAGCGTGTCGCCGACATAGTGATAACACTCGTTGCCTTCTCTAGTGCAGCTCAACCAGGTCTCGTACCATTCGTCGGTATATTTGTGATATCACAAATCCTGGAAAATATGCGTTGTAGTCCAAACGAGTCGTTCGTTGTAGTTTTTGAAAAGTGATTTCTGTTAAATATCTCCTTTTGAATTGGACTTTGAGCTTTGTAACTTTGCAGACCTTTTTCAATGCTCAAACAGCAACATTACAGACTAACTAAAGTTGAAAAAGTGAAAAAGCATAATAAGTTAAAGGCTCAAATTCAAAATGTCTCTTGAAACCTTAGGCTGGTCTATACAGACTTTTTCATTGTCCATGCTGATTTCGCTGTGAAGTCTGTGGCAATAGATTTAAATATTGTAAAGTGTGTGTACTACACAATGAAATGTGTACCTTTCTTTTGTTAGAAATACCTCTTTGAAGATATTTCCATTCACTCGATCACCAGTTCTGTGGTGTTGCTTCTGAGGATGTGCTCTGGGCATCGCCCCTCCTCTTTGCTTCATATTAATGCATTCACTCACCTGATTGGCTGCTGCAAGGTTCAGAGGTGTGGCCTGGATACATTAGGTGCACTCAGTGTATATGAAGGTGAGGCTGTGATGAGTAAGCCATATCATAAAAATAAAAGATATCCTTATCAATATACACAATAGTTTTGCATAAATACATTAAATAAATGAGTAGATGCATTTTTTTTGTCTGATTAATCTTTCTATATCCAGAAAAACTGGATTTAAGGAAGGACATATTTGGTGTCCTCTTGGACTATTTGCAGAGTCCAGATTCACATGCCACAGTAAGTATGTGCATATTCGTATACTGTGTTACTAATATTAGCTGCTTCAGATTTTTTGCCTTCAAAGCTGATTGGTTGTTGAAACACCTTATTTACTTGAAGCTTTCTGTGATTTCCAAGGTCTTGAAGAAAACATTTCAGGCCGTTAAGAGGTGGATTGTGTGTTCGCCTTTCCCTGATCTCCTGCAGTTTATCAGCCATGGTGAGGAGCTCTAACAGAATTCTGATATTTAGATAAAAGATGCCTGCCAAAATTATTACTATTAAAAAAATGATTAAACTATAAACCAAATATCTAAACTAACCAATCATATTGATTTAATTTTAGGATGAGAGGTCCTTTATCATAATCAACCCAAAAATGAAAAAAAAATGTACACTCATGTCGTTTCAAACCTTTATGACTTTTCTGTTAAACACAAAAGAGGATATTTTGAAGAATGTTGGTAACCAGACCGTTTTGGGTCCCATTGACATACATCGTATGGTCAAAACAAATGATGGAAATTCAGTAGGAACCAAAACAGTTTGGTTCCCAACATTCTTCAAAAGATCTTCTTTTGTATTCCACAGAAAAAAGAAAGTCATACAGGTTTGGGATGACATGAGGGTAAATGAGGAAATCATTTTTAAACGAACAATCCCTTGAAAAGAAACAAATATGATCCTATTGTTTTGAAATGAAACAGCTTGATGTGCTGATATTGTAAGCTATTGTAATATTTTGTCAGTAGATGGTCATGAAGCTTGCTTGTGTGTTTTGCAGACCTCTTTCCTGTATTGGAGAAACGGATGTGTGATTTGCGATGGGAAGTGAGAGACTCCACACTAGAGTTCATCACCCAGCTGACTGCTGCCCTCAACGGTACCACAAGCATATTTATCTCTACACTTACATTATTTCAATTCTTGCTGTGCAGACTATTTTAGTGATCATTTTCATTCCTGTCATTGTACTTCTTGTCTCTTTTTCCCAGGTAACAGTGGTTTCTCTGAAGCTCTCCACACCAGTGGTGTGGTCTCTGTTCTCCTTTCTTCATTGGCAGATGCAGAAGGCTATGTCAGAGCTAGTGCTGTGACTGCTGTCGGGGAGGCAGTTACTGCATCTTTATATCAGACTGTGCTTGTGAGCAATAGCAAACTTCTGGTGAGAAAATTACTCATTGTACATAATTCCAGCTCTTCAAATATGATCTTTAGAATGGTCCTGCATTTTTCTAAAGTGATACTTTTTATGATGGATGGACGCAGTTTATTTAGCTTCAAATTAAATCTCACTACCATTCACTGCCATTAAAAAGCTTGGAAATGCCAGGACATTTTTTAATATAACTCCGATTGTACTCGTCTGAAAGAAGAAAGTCATATACACCTAAGATGGCTTGAGGATGAGTAAATAATGGGGTCATTTTCATTTTTGGGTGAACTATCCCTTTAAACTACATAATTCATAAACAGTATGTTCTTCACTAAGCGATAATTAGACTCTGACTGTTGCAACCCAACAGTTGATTAGATTTGAGTCAATTTGATATGCCTTTAAATGAAAAGTTTGGACCACCAGTGTCTACAACACCTTCCTGATCTTGTCCAGAGGCGTAATTGTAGTTTTTTGATCATTTTAATGACCTGAAGCTTGGCAGCATGTTGATATTTTTAGTTTCTCAGTCTAATCACACATTTTTTATGTAACATTTGTAATTTAGGAGGAGGCTTTGGTGCAGATGATGGCCATTCTCTCTCAGGACACAGAGGGCTTTCCTCGTAGAGCAGTGGTCCAAGCTTTCACATCATGGCTGAAAGGATCACACCTCATAACGGCCTTGGAGTCGTCCCTGAGCTCCGTCCTGTCACTGGGAGGCAGCGATTTTGACTGGGAAGTGAAAATGCACACACTGGAGCTAGCAGAAGTGTTGATGGAGAAGACATTGACCTGCTGTCCGTACGCAGTCCAGAACTTCGGTTCCTCTGAAGAGACGCGCTTTACGCAAGCCTTGATCAAGCTTAAAGATTTTGGGCTGTTTGACTTGCTGTTTAACAGCTTGTTTGACTGTGACAGACCAGTGTGTGAGAAAGCCTGTGCACTCTTGGTCAAACTCAGAACACTTACAGCTGAGACCGCAGATTTGGATCACAGCGTTCTTGTCTTAAATGTATGTGGGAACAGATGGGGGGATGAGGTGCAGAGAAGATACCTCAACAAACAACAGGCCAAAGCATCTGGGTGTGTGACAAATGGAGTTACAGGATCTGATGAGGGAACGGACTGTGATTTACACTGCTCCAAAGACATTAGCCTACCCAAGATACTGCAGATTCTAGATCTAGATGACATGCAGAGGATGTTGACATTAAGTAGTGATCATGTTGTGAATTCGCCCCGATCGCTAATGGAGGACATTCTTTCAGCAGCCCAGCAGAATGAAGAGAATATAGTGGATTGCTATTGAGAATATACCGTGTAACCGTTTGAGACCTTTTTTACGGTTTAATAAAGGAAGATGTACAGTCTCAAATTAAATTACATTTTTCCAACCTGTATTTTCAGATTTTTTTTTTTTGCTGGAATTTTTCAATGTTTCTACAAAAACTTCTGAAGCTTTTTGGTCAGCTGAACCCCTTAGATATAACATATTTTAACTCTTTTCTTTCCATTGATGGAATTTTCAGGCTTTCCATGTTTTCACTGTTATAGGGTAGGGGGCACTATTACATATGTTCTAAAAGAGTACTAAATCTTAGGATCAAAACACAGGCGAAAAATAAACACAAACGATCACATATGTAATAATTTATTCTATTTAATAGTTTTTCATTTTCGGTCACAAAATATAATAAAAAAAATTGTATATATCTTATTTTCATACAAACTCTAAAGGTTTTTTTTTTGTTCTTCACTCTGTAACATGCAGCGCATTAGGCTGTATACATAATTTCAGTATTATTTCGATTAATTGCGCAGCCTCAGTTGTTTATTTAAATTTTAATTATTAGCTTTTCATCGACTCACGAACCCCCATTTGGGAAATTCTTACAGCAATTAAATGTTTTTGAGGATCCAGACCATTATGTCATCTTTAACACTCTCAAACACTTTCCGAAACCCTTTCCTCTTTTAAATGCTTTGAACCAAGAATTCCTGCACATCTTCCAGCCTATGGGGATTACCTGGGAACTCAGGAAAATGCTTCTGGATATCTGAAGTCTGTACTTTTTCTGCCAGCAGATCCATTTTGTTAAAAAAAAAAAAAAAGTAGGGGGCAGTTGCGGAATATCTTCTGAAGGCAGAAGCTCTCAAAATCATTCAACAAATCAACCATGCAGTTGTCCTCAAAGATGGTTCGGTCGTAATCACTGCATCTAATGATATACTGTATAAGAATGGTGTGTTGATATCAAAATATGTGGCAGTTTTTCTCAAAATATAATTACAGACAGAGACTTCTGCTACCGTGAATGGGATATCACGGAGCACGAAATACTGCTCTCCAAAGTTATGTGCATAAAGAATGTCCTGATTATATGGCAAGTAGTTCTGCAAGTACAAAGAGTGTGTCAGTCAATAAAAAATAACTCCCATATACATAGTGATGTTTGGTCAGGTGCACAAAAGACCCCTTTCACAGACTGTGATGACGCAGAAATGTAGAAAACTTTGTTTTATTTTATGTACATTTATAATTATATTACAATTTTAATATTATAGTATTATTTAAAAATAATAAGAAAACTCTAGTAAACACTTCTGCAAGGGGGTTTCCTAATACAACAGCTGAGTGAACATTAAAGTACTAATCACACAATTCTAACTGTTTTTCTAGCAATTCTGAGTTTACAATAATCGCAATTCTGTTTTTCTGTTTCTGCTATGGTATAAAAATAATAAGAGGTAACCGCAACTTTTTATCTCACAATTCTGACTTCCCTTGCAATTGCACATTTTTAAAGAGAATACCCTGGCCATTACATGTAACTAGTTACTCCCCAACACTGCTGGTAAACAATACTTCTGTGCAGTCACTTTGGAATGTGCTAAGAGAATATTTAATTACTATAATACTGATTTCTCGCTAGAAATAGCATCAAATGTACAAAAGGTTGGTCAGAAACATATATTTACACACAAACTGACCACCAAATGCAACTTTCAGACAACACATTTATATTTTTGCTCAACCATCACAGAATGGAATGCACAGGATTGTGGGATATTAAAGGCAGCGTAATCTTAACACTGCATATTTAAAACATTATGTTTATTAAAAAATATTAGTTATATGCAAATTCCATTTAGTTTCTTTTTGTGTTATATGCACTTTTTTTTTTTGCTATATGCAATTTAATTTCATATTTGTTATATGCATTTTTTCAACTTTTTTGTTGACAGACTGCTTTCTATGATATACAAGAATGACAGTTTTGTCTGTGCATCACACTGAGCATTTTAGATACGTGCTGCATTTCAACAATAGGTAAGTGTATTGGGAAAAGTCAACACCGTAGTACACAAAGGAAATGAACATTTTTATTTATACAGTACATTTATTTTTGTAAAAATGTGTTACATGTAAACAGCCTTA